CCACCCCTCCCATTCCCACGTGGGAACATCATCGAGCTCTCCAGGCAAGGATGGAGGAGTTTGGAGTGAAAAACAGCCCCAGAGATTGACAAAGGCCCTGCAAGGACAGCTCTGCCTTTACCTCCTTGACCACAGCACCGATGAACCGCCGCGCCAGGACGATGGTGGTCACGATCAGCACGTTGGAGTCGATGAGGTGGAAGTTCTGTGGGGGATAAAACTGGAATTAGTCCAAAACCGAAATTATTTCAAAACTGGAATTATTCCAGAACCGAAATTATTCCAAAATCAAAATTATTCCAGAACTGAAGTTACTCCAGAACAGAAATTATTCCAAAACCAGAATTATTCCAAAACTGACATTATTCCGAAACTGAAAATATTCCAAAACCAAATTTTTTCCAAAACTAAAATTAATCCAGAACTGAAATTATTCCAAAACCGAAATTATTCCAGAACTCAAATGATTCCAAAACCAAAATGATTCCAAAACCAAAATGAGTCCAAAACCGGAATTATTCCAAAACCGAAGTTACTCCAAAACCAAAATTATTCCAAAATTTGTACCCCAAAAGGGAAATTATTCCAGAACCAAAAGTATTCCAGAACTGAAAATTCTTCCAAAACTGAAATGATTCCATTTCCATCAAGCAGCAGGAACCTCCCAAATGATCAACTCCCAAAATAAACTCCCAAGCTCTCTCTTCCAAGACAACACCAAGCAGCCCAAAATGCCGAAAACAGGAGCAACCCTGAAGGGTCAAAGGTCATTTTTACCAAACAAAACCTTTAAATTTTTTTTGTTTAGTGACTCAGAATCAGGCTGGAGGTGTCAGCCACCCTCTGGTGCTCACCAGGGATGTGTGGGATGGAGGGTGTGAGGGTGGGTACCACCACACGGTCTTGTAGATGTTGATGTAGTGCACGAACAGCGCGACGAGGTGGCAGAAGAAGAGCTGCAGCTCGAACAGGACGCTCCTCTCCACGGGCAGCTCGGGGATCTTGCAGTGCCGCAGGGGGACCACGGTCTGAGCGGCCAGAGGGGGGCTGGACAGCCCTGTGCCCGAGCCACTCCTGCCAGAAAAACACAGGGGAATGTCCTCCAGCTCACCCACACAGATGTGAGATCAATGGGAAACTCAAGTTTTGGGTGGCCAGCAGAAATTTCCAGTATCAGCGWCCCAGGGTGACTGRGAGCAGGRATTYGCCCACCCAGAGCAATATTTAGGACACAGATCCTGCAGTCTGGGGAACGGGATGAGCTCTAAGTTTGGGGAATAGGATGAGCTCCAAGGCTGGGGAATGGCATGATCTTGAAGGCCAGGAACAGGATGAGTTCTAAGTTCTGGGAACAGGACGAGCTCCAAGTTTGGGGAACAGGATGAGCTCTAACTCTGGAGAACAGGATGAGCTCTGAGTTTGGGGAACAGGATGAGCTCTAAGGTCAGAGAATGGGACGAGAGCTCTAAGGTTAGGAACAGGATGAGCTCTAAGTTTGGAGAACAGGACAAGCTCTAAGTTTGGGGAATAGGATGAGCTCTAAATCTGGGGAACGGGATGAGCTCCAAGTTTGGGGAATGGGACGAGCTCTAAGGACAGGAACAGGATGAGCTCCAAGGCTAGAGAACAGGACAAGCTCTAAGTTTGGGGAACAGGATAAGCTCTAAGTTTTGGGGAACAGGATGATCTCCAAGGCTGGGGAACAGGACGAGCTCTAAGTTTGAGGAATAGGATGAGCTCTAAATGTGGGGAATGGCATGATCTCTAAGAACAGGAATGGGATGAGCTCTAAGTTTGGGAACAGGGTGATCTCTAAGTTTGGGAACAGGATGATCTCCAAGGTGGGGAACAGGATGAGCTCTGTGTTTTGGGAACAGGACAAGCTCTCTGTTTTGGGAACAGGACAAGCTCTATGTTTGGGGAACAGGACAAGTTCTCTGTTTGGGGAACAGGACGAGCTCTATGTTTTGGGAACAGGATGAGCTCTATGTTTTGGGAACAGGACGAGCTCTAAGTTTGGGAACAGGACGAGCTCTCTGTTTTGGGAACAGAACACTCCCCAAATCCCTCCCCACCCCCATCACCCCATCCAGCTGTCCCGTTCCCCCCATGGCAGCACCATGACCGTACCTGGTCCGTGAGCGCACTCCGGTGACCGAGGAGCCCGCGGGGTGCGCGGAGGCGCCGGCAGCCCCGGGTTCACACAGCGGGGTCCGGCAGTAGGAGCTCCTGTTGGGACCCCGGCGTCCCCCGGCCATCCCCGGCACCTGCGGGGTCCTGGCAGCTCACTGCGGGCTCAGCACTGCACCAGACACCGAGGGATTAGTGTTTGGTAATTAATGATATTGATTAGTTATTGATTAGCATTGATTAGTTATTGCTGGCTTCTCTGTCATGGACCCGAGCCACCACCCCAAATTCCATGGGATAACCCAAAGTCCATAAGATACCCCAAATTCCATGGGATAACCCAAATTCCATAGGATACCCCAAATTCCATGGGATAACCCACCCCAAATTCCATGGGATAACCCAAATTCCATGGGACACCCCAAATTCCATGGGAAAACCCAAAGTCCGTAAGATACCCCAAATCCCATGGGATAACCACCCTAAATTCCACGGGATAACCCAAATTCCATGGGATAACCCAAATTCCATAGGATAACCCCAAATCCCATGGGATAACCACCCTAAATTCCACGGGATAACCCAAATTCAATGGGATAACCCAAATTCCATGGGAAATGTGGGGCTGCAGGAAAATTTTGGGGGTCACAGGGGCTCTCAGGGAGCTGTGAGGGAAATGTGGGGCACAAATGGGGCTGAGGGGGCTCTGCAGGAGCTGTAAAAGGGAAATTTGGGAGCACAGTGGGGCTGAGGGGGCCTCAGGAGCTTTGAGAGGAAAATGTGGGGCACAAATGGGGCTGAAGGGGCTCTGGAGGAGCTGTGAGAGGGAAATTGGGGCACAGTGGAGCTGAGAGAGTTGTGAGATGGAAATGTGGGAACACAAAGAGCGCTGAGGGGTCCAGGGAGCTCTGGGAGAATGAAATGTGGGGCACAAATGGGCTGAGGGAACCACAGGCGCTCTGAGGGAGCTGTGAGATGGAAATCTGGGAACACAAAGAGCGCTGAGGGGCCCCGGGGGCTCTGAGGGCCCGGCCAGAACTGCGGCGGGACCCTCGGGGGCTTTCAAAACCCCACCGGGACACTC